TCACTTGTCTGGAGTATCACATTTTCCTGGTGGATGTTAGCTTTAGCTGTTGATATTGAACTTTCTTGACACTTGACACTTAGTCTTGACCTTTTTTTTTCCCCTCCTTCTGTCTTTATTTCCATTACCGTGAATAAAAGCCAGTCTCCTTTTTTTTATTAAAAAAATTATAATAGAAGAAGTAATAGAGTCTCGGTTTTAAAATTAAAACTGGAAAAGAAAATAATGTGATGAAATAGATAAAGGCATCCTGAATGACTAGTTTTCTTATATCTCATTCCAGAGATGCTTTATTTCAGGTACTAAAGCAAAACAAGAAATCCAGTCTGTTAATACTGAGTTTGTTGTGACTTTTGTTGCGACTTCTGATGACCTCATGAGTTACCAACTCGACTGCTTCCTGGGATTTCTTTACAATAATCTTTATCAAGTATATCCTCAAGTCTTTCTGCTACAGAGCTTCTGGGAGAGTGCCAGCAACCATCATTTAGGTTAGCAGTAAAGGCAAACTGTCTTTACCTACCAGTGATATTTTACGTACGATAACAAATAGATGTTCAGTGAGAGCCATAATGAGTGAGTGAGAGCTTGATTATGCACCAAGATCACTTGGAAGGAAAAATATGTATATGCCAGTTACTAATTGTGTAATCTTGAGCAAGTCTTTTAACTGATATATCAATGGATGTTGTTGTTGTTATGTGCTGTCGAGTCACTTGCAACTCACAGCAACCCTATGGACAACAGCCCTAAACTCACCTCTGTCCTGTGCCAATCGCACTGTCTCTGACACCCCTTCCCGATTATCCCAGTCACTGAATCAATCCACTTCATAGAGGGCCTTCCCCTCCTGTGCCTGCCCTCGACCCTCCCAAGCATGATGTCCTTCTCCAAGGACCGGTCTCTCCTTACAACATGTGCAAAGTATGTTAGACGAAGCCTCAGAATCCTTGTCTCCAAGGAGCAGCCCAGTTTAACCCTCTCCAGGATGAATCTGTTTGTTTTCTTAGCAGTTCATGGTACCCTCAATACTGTTCTCCAGCACCACAGCCCAAAGGCATCAGTTCTCCTTCTGTCCTCCCTAGTCATTGTCCATCTCGCTGATGCCTAACAAGTGATTGAGAAAATGAAAACAGGATTCACACCTGACATTATATACAGAAATAAACTCAGGATGGATCAGGGATAAAATCTAGATGAGTAAAGATCATCAGAGAAAAGAATAGGACCTAATTTTTTAGCCCTCATTTATAACTTATAAATAGACTATCAAACATAGCAAAAAATGTACAACTAGCATAAAATAGATTAATAGGACCATCTCATAATTATATCCTTATGTACATAAAAGTTTTCTCTATAGAGAAGTAAAGAGAACCTAGTGACTGGGGCAAAAGGTTTGGTAATGGCATATCTCTTACGGGACTTGTGCCTGAAATTTATCCTAACACCTCAACAAGGAAAAGACAGTTAACCTTTTACAAAATGTGTAGAATATATGACAAGAAGGCATCTAGGTGACCATCAGCACATAAAGAAATGCATAAGCTCTCTAGGTATTAGAGAAATGTATATCAAAGCAACAATGAGATTTCAGCTCAGCAACAGTAGCAGAGCAAACAAATGCTGGCGTGGGTGGAGCGAGATTGGAAGAGTCCTGTAGTGCTGTTGGAAATGTGAAATGGTGCAGCCACCAGTAAAGCAGGTTGACGTTTCCTTTGAAACCATCCTCTCCTTTTTCATTGTCTCATTTGATCTGTTAAACCTTTTCTTCGGCTTTGCCTTCAAAATATCTTTTCGATCTAAATATTTCCCTCAACTTAGTGCTATCATCTTATTGTACACCAGCATCAGTTCAATGAGTGGATCACTTTTGAGAGGTTTCATTCTAAATTTTTGTCAAAATACTGTCATCTTGACTTCAGTTTCTTTCTAAATTAGTCTCTCTGCTGCTTTTATTTCCGTAGTATGCACACTCCTCTCACCCACATTAAATCCTCCAGTGCTCTTTACCTCATTTTGATTTAATTGTGGAATCCTAATTAGAGTCGAGTATTAACTCTCACAGTGTGGCCCTGGTTTTATTTTGGTTGGTTAGTTTTCTCTCCCCCGTGTTATTTCCGGTTTCTGCCTGCCTCTGAGCTTCAGCCTCTCTAACCCTCTGCTGTTCCGTCCCGGGGAGTGAGAATCTAGCTGACAGCAGTAGATGTTCCTTCTTCATAGTAATTTATCTCATGACTTGGACCTTTTACTTTCCCTGGATCACTGTTTTAGCATATAAAAATACAGTCATTCCCTGACTTCACGGTCAGATTGTGAACTCTTCAAACCATCTTAAAATAATTGCCCATTCACTCTTTCACTTTCTCACTCAACTTACTTTTTCTTATGACATAATTCTGTGAGCATTTCTGTTAACTGACATACCTCTATTTCCTCTATTCTCCGACCCCCAGCATTTATGTATCTCTGTTTGTCAGCACTGGAATGTAAAACACAGTGAAGACAGGGTAGGCTGGGGGGTGTGGTTTTGTCCACCTTTGTATGCCTTTCACCTTGAATAGGTCTCAGTATGTATGGAATGGATAGATGACGGGAAGAACACTCTTGAGCTATATGTGACACATGTCCAGTATTTCAATTATAAATCCTATTTTCTTAATTGAAGTTAATTCAGGCAAAAGGAAATGTTTTGTCATTAGATTCAACAGCCTAATAAAAATTTCCAGATACTTTTAGTATTGTACCTCTTAGGTTTGTGGTCAAAAGTCTCAGATGTGTAAGTCTCACTCTGTATATCACCACACTAATAAAACTGATGAAGTCATGTTGTTGTTGTGTTGTGTGCCATCAAGTTGACAAGTTGTAGTAAATCTGTGAACTACAGATCAGAATCTTGCCCTCCCCCTGCTCAGCATACAGATTGAGTGGGTATGAAAAAAAGGATACAACCCTGGCCCACATCTTGCCTGATTTTAAACCCTGCACTATTCCCTTCTTCTGTTCAGATATTAGCTTCTTTTTGCATGAACATAATTTAATGTTCTAGGATTCCCACCTTACAGTGTGAATCCATAATTTATTATCATTTGTATGGTCAGTAAAACCCAGTGAGGATTTTTGTCTTCTTGATGTTGAGATGTAAATCCACATTGAAGACTATAGTCTCTGACCTTCTGCAGCAAAGACTTCAAGACTTCCTCACTTTCAGCAAGCAAGGTTATGTCCCTGCATATATAATCACTTTGTATATTCTTTCCATATTCTTTTAATCCTTCTGTGTCATTCAGGTTTTTGCCCATAGAATCTTGCAGGATTAAAACTCCCAAGTATGAATTTATTCTGTAGTTTTTTTCAACTTGAGAAAGACCCAGCCTGAGTATCCTTTATGGTTTTCTAACTCCAGCCTTTTCCACATTTGCTTATATTACAACTTTACCTTGTATTCTTGACCCATCCTTGGAAATCTTCAGTTCACCTCTCTTTTTCCTCAGTATTTCTTCCCTTGGTTCTCCTGAACTTGTTTTACTTAAGCTTCGGTTTGAACTTGCACATGAGTAATTGTTGATCTGTCCCCCTGTGCCCTTTTTTGATGACTTATATTGAGCTTCTCCATGAATTCCTTCCACAGATGTGCTCAGTCTGATTCTTGTTTATTTCTTAGAGTGAAATCTCTGTGTGTACTTACCTCTAAATATTTTATGGTAACAAGTGTTTGCAATGAGTAGAACATTTGTTGGACAAATTATGTTTCCTTGGTACACAAGAAAAAGCCATGGAAAAGTCTATCGTCACTGTAGCAAGGCTTAGTTCCTATAGGTATAAACACATTTCGATGTCCAAATGGTCTAATAAGGAATCTAGCGACTATAATCTAGTGGCCTGGTGGATAAAGGGGTACGCTTCCAACTCAAAGGCTTTTTTCTTTATTTTTTTGTCTCAGGAGAGCAGTAGTCATTGCTTATGGATTTGACAAACTGTAGATAATTTTAGAATAACAAACTGGATCTGTGTGTGAATACAGCATGTTTATTGTTATCTAAAGTGAAGTAGTGAAAGCTTAATAAAAGAAATGTATACTCAATTGTGCAAGTATATCTCCCTGAAAAGTGAATTAATTTTTCTAAAGCATCAACAATTTTATTTTTCTGTAACATTTGTACTTGCAGTTAAATACTCCATAAGGAAATGGGTAGCTATTTTATCTGTGAAAATTCTCCATTTTCTAATTTGTTTTTCTTATCCTTCCACCATTTCAATAAAAAAAAATTATAAATGGACAAATAAAATTTTATTATTTATGTTATTCCCCTTCCTAAGAGAAATAGACACAGAATTTTAAAAATATTTACAGGATCATAAATACAGGTAAACACTAAAAAACCCATCTGTACCTATGATGAAGAAGATTTTTCTATTGAAAGTTGACAGAATACATTTTTCTTGAACTTCATGAGTTTGATACAATTGGTCAGTGTTTGAATGAATGTCAAGTGTGTCTTAAGAAATGAGAAACTGAGGACCATCTTTGGAAGTAAAGATCATAAGATGGTTGTAACATGCCAGGCACCTTTGACACATACAAATTAAAGGTATGAGAAGGAATTGTATACAATGGTCTGGTGAACCCAAAACAACATGGGCTTGAAAAGACTATCCTCATGAAATTTTATGTATTTGAGGGTAAGGACAATCTCGGTTGACACAGGTTGCTTGAGTTTTTTCTATGTATAATTTGGGTGAAATATTTTTAATTGTGAAATGTCAGTAGACCCAACTTGAGTACTGACATAAAGAAATTTGTTACAGATTAACAAAATGAGTTCGTTTCTATAAACTAGTTTTGGGTTTTAGCTGTTTTTTTCTAGTCTAAATGATCTTGAATTATAAGCAAATACATGCTTGTTTCTTCCCTTTGTCCTATTGATTTCTTTATTAGTAATCTAATATGCAGATGTCTGATTCTTGTGTGAATGGTACAGTCTCCCTTTATTTTCTAGCCATGAAGCTCATGACTGCCTTGGTGAATGTTGCCTTAAACCTCAGTATTCATCAGGATAATACGCAGAGGCAGTATGAAGCTGAGAGAAATAAAATGATTGGAAAGAGAGCCAATGAAAGGTTAGAATTACTACTTCAGAAACGCAAAGAGGTGAGTTAGTTTTCTCTGGCTATATCTTTTATATAAATCAAATTTGTATATGGTAAATAGATCATTCTGTCAGGTGTCATGTCAGTTGTGACTCAGGCCAGCACCATCTGTGTACAGTGTGGAGCCTGCTCCCAGGCCTTTTATGCCTTTCACAGTTCAGAGACAGATGGCTCGCCCTGCATTTCAAGGTACCTCAAAACTGAATTGGACTACCAGTCTTTCAACCAGTAGTCACATGTTTAACCATCCACCAGATGAAAAGTCTACTACCTAACATCGATTCAGACTTGTGACTCTCCATCAGGGACAAGATTCAAATCTCTTGTCTCACCTGCAGAGGACACTGGTAGATTTGAGCTGGCAACCTTTCCGTTGACAGTACACCATGTATTACATGTAACCAGGACTCCTCCTGCACCATCCTCTAAATAGATTATAGTCTTTTTTTATTCCCCGTGGAAATGTTTGCGTATATTTAACATTTTTAAAAGATTTTCTTTAAAAGTTAAATCTATTAGTTAATCTTAGAATTTTCTATAAGGTTTTCAGCCCATGGTTGAATGCTATCTGATGACAGTATGGAGTCACAAAACAGTCTTATATTTGACAGAAGACGTTCTGGGAGTTAGTTACTGCTATAGATTTTAAGACACTAGCTTTAGAGAATACTGTAAATGGCTAATGTGTAAAATGGGTGCCTTCAATTTTGCATTTCGAGCAGAAAGCTTAAGACTACTTGTTAACAAATAATGCAAGACATTCTCTATGTAAGATTGATCCCTGTTTTACAATGACATTTTCATGTGTACGTATGTTGCAAGTGATTTTTATGTGAGTTTTTTGTGAAAAACATTTTCATTATCCAAAAGAAAACCAAGCTTTAGTTCTATAAAATTAAGCTATCGTTTAATTTGAGAGAAAATGAACAGTATTATAGTGCTGGAAAGAAATTGTTGCCAGTCAGTAATGGTTTACAAGAAGCACAAAACCACCTACACCCAGGAGAGGATGGAATAACTGAATGGGACCTTGTAAGAATCAAATCCCTTGTAAGAAGCACATCCCAAAACCCCAACAGGGTAAGAAGGGAAACCACAGACTGGGAAAATATATTTGGGAATGACATGTCTGATAAGGGACTTATATCCAGAATTTATAGAATATCCGAACACCACAACAAGCTAAACAACCCATCTGCAAAATGGGCACAGGATATGAAGAGACACTTCGCCAAAGAAGACATTCAGGTGGTGAACAAACACATGAAGAAATATTAAAAATCCTTAGGTCTGTGACAGATGCAAATCAAAACAACTATATCATCTCACCCCAGAAAGAACTGCAAACTTTAACAGAACAGCAAGCAACAAATGTTGGTGAGGTTGTAGAGAGACTGGAACCCTTATTCACTGTTGGTGGGAGGGTAAAATGATGCAAACACTATGGAAGGCAGTATGATGCTTTCTCAAAAAGTTGGAAATAGAAATGCCATTTGACCCAGCAATTCCATTGCTGGAAATATACCCTAAAATAACTGTAACCGCCACCTAAGCAGATATATGCACAGCCATGTTTATTGCTGCTTTGTTCACAATAGCATAGAGATGGAAACAACCCGAGTGCCTATCAACAAATGAATGGATAGAGAAGCTGTGGTATATTCACACAATGGAATACTATGCAGCACTCTTAAAACAAAGAACTCATGAACTATTATACAAAATGGTTGACCCTGGAGGACATTATGCTGAGTGAAATATCTCAGTCACAAAAGGACGAATCTGCAAAATGTCAACTGTTACAGAACAGAACTGATAAGGGTGTTAGGGCGGGGCTAAGAGAAGAGTGGATAAATAATGTATACATAGGGCATTGAAACCGACAAGAGAGAGAACTATATAAAACTAGTATACGATTAGGTATTATTGGCCTGACGAGAGTCTAGAATAACAGTTGCATAGTAAAGTGATGGTGGTGGTGGTGGTGGTGGGTACTGTGTAACGTTGAAAAACCTTTTTTTTGTTTTTTTTTTCAAAGAAAAAGTTCTTTATAAACTTTCATTAAAATCTAAAAAAAGGAAGCACAAAACCAGCAAATTGTTAACCAAGCTATATATGGAATATTACAAAAATAGGTATAGGAACTGTGCTTCAGTGGGTATTTTTAGCCAAAAAAATTATTATCTTCATTTTAACATATAATAAATGCAAGGGGAAATTTTTTTAATTTTTTTTTTAAAAAAAAAAAAAAATTTAACATATAATAAATGCAAGGGGAAATTTTTTTAATTTTTATTACATTTCAGTGATTTAAACTATTTACTATGAAAATAGTTTCTTGCTTATTTCAGTTAAACTTAAAACAAGGAATACAGAAAGAAATACGTGTGGTGACTTTTTATTGTCATGTTTATGCATGCAGTAATGGAACATTTCACTGAATATTGGTATTTAGCAAATTAGAGTAATAAACACCATCTTCACTATCTTTTGTGTCATGGATTTTATTCTTTTAGAACAGTGAATAAACTTGAACTCTGAGCAGTTGTGTTGCCTGAAATGTGTGTGTGTGTGGTATGGTATGTGTTATTGCAAGATTACCTATGGTTAGTTACGATTCTTGCTGAGTTCTATTTAACTTCCTCTTTGAGGGAACTTTGCTTCCTCTCAGTGTTACAGGCTACTTTGATGCAGAATAATAGAAACTTGGATGTGTTAGATGGAATTGGAAGTTTCCTGTACAGTAGTAATATGATTCTGTTTGAGTTCTTACCCCAGAAGGCAACACTAAGCCAGGGGCTTAGTTCATACAGAGGACGTATAGAATTTCAGGGTTGGTCCAGGTCAAGAATATTTTGAAAATAGGAACGTGACACCGTTGGTTGCACCACTCCTTATTGTTATTTGTTGTGTGGTTACCTTCTCCACTGCTATATTAGCAGCCCTGTGTGCGACAGATGGAAGCTTCGCCCATCCTGTGCCATCCTCCCAGGCTCCACTAGGCTTTCCCTTCCTTGCAGTCCCTGTCAGTCCATCTCATGTAGAGTCTTCATCTCCTCCTCATTCCCTGTTGTGACAAGGACTGGCCCCTCCTGAGAACATGCCCAAAGTATATGAAATGAAGTCTCACTGTCCTTGCTTCCAGGAACCACCTGGTAGCTCTCCCTCCAGGACATAGTAGTTTGTTCTTTTAGTCCTCCAAGGCATCTTCGGTACTTTTATCCCACACTGCAGTTCAGGGGCATCAGTTCTTTAATCGTCTTTATTGATTGTTTTTCACATGCATATGAAATAATTGAACATACCAGGGTTTGGATCAGATACACCTTTATCTTTATAAATTGAAGATTTTACTCTTTGGTACTTTAAAGAAGTCCTTGGCAAGAGGTTTACTCAGTGCAGTACACATACTTCCTGAAGGGAAAGTATTTGCAAAAAGTAAGAGTCCAAGAATTAAAGTATTGGTGAGGTTTTTCAACAATCAGTTGAAGCTCAGAACATACTCAACTTTCTATAACCAAGTATTTAGAAGATGGCTCCTATCAGATGTGTAGTGCAGAGTGGTGCTCAGCCCGAGAAGTTGTAAAGTCAGTGTAGTAGCAGTATGAGTAATGCAAGTATGTTGGTGATTTCTGACACTGTTGCACAATAAATGGGCTGGCAGGAGAATTGACAAGTAGGCATAAGCAGGAATTAGACACATTTGATCGATATCTTAAATTTTTCCTCTTCTATTATTTTTTTCATTTCAGCTACAAGAAAATCAGGATGAAATTGAAAATATGATGAACTCTATTTTTAAGGGTATATTTGTTCATAGATACCGGTAAGTGTTTCTTAAAAATGTTACATAAATAATTATTGCTTGTTTATAACTCTTTCTAGAAAACTGTGAAAATCTTATTAATCACTTAATGTTTTCTGGAGTGCAACTTTGACTATAAAAGATAAATCTCTGTCATACCTGTGAAGAAAATGGAGCGACCTCTAATAGTAAAACAGTCTGAAATTTTTGACATATACTGTTGGAAGTAACCTGTTTGTCTGTGTGCAGGTGGAATGTTGATTAATAGTGTACCATTCACTTTGTGGTCCTGCTGTTTTATTGATTATGATGACATTGAAAAAAAAATTAAAATCATATTGCATTTCTGTAGTGGTCACGTCCCTTCAATGGGAAGATCAGCCAACACTCAAAATATCTTTGAGAAGGTGAAATAGAAGAGAACAGAAAGGGTGACCCCTGCAAATAACAGTTACTCTTTATATTCGCTGTTGTTTCAATTCTGTACATCAAACTTAGAAAAGTGGAAGGTCAGAGAGAAAGAAGACACACAACAAGACGCACTGGCATGTTGTTGCTGCTGTGCACCTTTGATTCGGAGCCGACCCATAGCAGACCCTCAGCAGGTTTTCAGAGGCGGACAGTTACAGCGTTCTCCCACGGAGCAGCTGGTAGCCTCCAACTCCGTGCTTTCAGGATTGTGACGCAGCTTCTTGCCGCTGGGCCACCAGAGCTCCAGAGTTGGCATGTTGTCTGGTTTTGAACCATCGAGTAAGAACCGACCTGTTTGGTTATTAAATTAACCTGTAGTATTTATTTAGTAATTAATACTATGAATTATTAAAGTGTATTTTCACAGAGAATGAATCATTTTGTAAGTTTTATTGACTGAATTAAAGGTGAAATGATGTGTTTCGGTGGCTATAGATGATGTTTGAAGTCATGTTTAGTACTACATTTGTACACTTAACCTTGAGAGTTACAAAGGAAAATGAAACACGTAAGACTGAAATACTGTGTTTTCACATAATTTAAATCCTATTTGGGTGCTTTCTAACTTCTCAATAAAGGTTTATCGTTTTCTTTGTACTGGTCTCACAAACCTTGTGTAGAATATGGATAATCTATACTTAAGTGGTTTTTGTAAATGGAGTGTGTTTATATTATTTTTCATTTCCAATAATTTCATTAACTTATTCAAGTATTAGAAAAGATTACTTAGTTTACTAGCTCTGCTAGCTTTTGTTTAAAGATTCTGAAGGATATTCTTAAACAGTAAAGTCCTCTACTCAAAGACTCGAGATTTTTTTTTCTTTTTTCTTTCAATTATTTATCTTGCTGCACCTGTCTGAAAACATCTTTGTGTAGTGCTGGCTGTTTTGTTGAAGCAATTTATTGTGTTAAGGAAATTTGTTTCTATTCCTACTTTTTACGTAATTTTCATTAGAAATGACCTTTAATGTACTTAAATCATTATTTTTCTCTTTTTAAAAATGTAATAGGTTGAATTAACTTAACAGAATAACCCAGCCTTGTGTTCATGAGATAGAATATTAATAAATGAATTAATTTGGTTAATTACCAAATGTTAATTTAGTCTTGACTTTTATGGTATAAAATCTAGATAGTCCTGGTGTGTTATTCATTGTACATATTAATTGCATTTGATTTGCTAATTTTTTTAAAGGATTTTAACATCTATATTGATGAAAGAGATGTGACTCATTTTAGTAAATGTTTCTGACTGCCTTAGAGAGGGCTAGCCTTGCTAATAAGTTGTTGTGTGTTTTCTCCTCTTTAGTTTTATTGACAAATTTTGTAGAATTGAGTTTATCATTTTCATCAAACCTAGTATTTATTTACTTTGTTGGGATGTTTTTAAGTACAGTTGAAATTTTTTTACTAGATGTGAGATCGTTAAGGTTATCTGTTTCCCTTAATAACCTTTGGTTGCTTGTTTCATTGAGGACTGGAAGATTTTTCTCCGTTCTTAAATTTGTAAACATAATATTGTTCTAAATACTCAATTGGTGATTTAACCTCAGTAAAAACTCAGTATTGGGAATTGATGCTCGTTCTTAGTCTGTGTCATTTTTTTTTAGTCACCACTTCTCTTCCCCTTTCACAAATACAGATCTAATCATTGTTTTTTCTCAAGGACCAGCTCTTTGGTCATATGGGAAAACACTGTTTTCCATTTCACTGATACTTGCTCTTTCTCATGCTGCTTGCTTTGGGTATTGGTTTGTTTGTGCTTTGTGGTTTTTTCTCTTCTCAGAGTGTAAACAGGTGATTGATTTATTTGTGACTTTTTTTTTACTAAAACACATTTTTATCATCTCTGATTTTGTTCAAGATGGTTTTTCCTGTTTCTTAATATTGACTTTAAACATTTTAAAATTTATTATTTATCTGTTTTCTTCCAGGTAATTTTTCATTGTTTTTTTAAAATGATGTTATTCCTATAAATGTCTGTTAAGCACTGTTGTAGCTGTACCTCTCTCAAATTTGGTATATTCTGTTTACACCGGGTTCAGAGTACTTTCTGACAGCTCTTTGACTTTATTTTTTTAGAAGTGTTGTATGTAGTTTGTAAATACTTATGAATTGTCTCATTATTTCTGAATTCCATTGTGAGTAGAGAATGTATTTTGAATGTTTTAAATTTGTATTTACGGTCCATAATATGGTCTATCTCAATTAATGTTAGTAACTTATGTCAGGTCCTGTTGGTTGATTGTATTGTTTACTTGTTCTGTCTTCTAAACAGATTTTTCTGTTACCCTAACAATTACTGAGAGAAAGGTGTTGTTAGAATAATAATATTTTCATTCAAGTCATTTATCAGGTGCATGATTTTCAAATTTTATTTATTTGTGGCTTTCTTTTTTTTTTATGATGGCTTCCCTCCCCCATAATGGCTTTTGAAAAATATTCTATTTAACCATATTTATTACTTCCCTCTCCCCCCCGCCCCATGGTTGTAATTTTGGTGCCAAGCCAATGAAAATAGCCTAAGAAGCAAGGAAAGATAGAATAACTTAAGTCTCAGTAGAGCAGGAGAACATAACCATAGCTGATATCCATGCATCCAGTAATGGGGCCACAAAACACCCAAATCAAACTTGAACATATTTGCAAAATGAAATAGCTCCACACTATTAGATAACTTCAGTGAACACATTACTTTTGATGAACCATAGAACAGTTAGAAACTCAGCAAATACTCATAAGACTAACCTCTACAGTTATCTAACTTGATCTCATAAACTTAGAATACATCACCCCAAGAGTTCTATATCCTGCTTCTCCAGTATATGCAGAACTTTCTCCAGACCATATGTTAGGTAACAGAACAAACCTGTATAAATTTTAAAATAGTAAAATATTGTAGCATATCTTAGATCACAATGCCGGGGGGTGGGGGGAATCAACAGTAAGAGGGACAAAACTATGCCTTTGAAAATAGACAAACATTCTGATTAAAACTTTGGTTAATAAAGGAAATGTAAAAGTTTCTGTAACAAATAAGAATGAAAACAAAGTATGCTAAAATCTTTGTTGTTGTTGCTTCTGAGTTCTGTTGACTCTATCAATGAGCCACAGTGTTTTGGAGATCCTGGGGATGCCTCAGAACAGGGCAGCGTTCCAATCTCTTGTTCATAAGGTCATTTTAAGTGGTCATGCATTTGAGGACACATAACACCAGTAACAGGAAAAGGGGTAGTGACTTGCCTACGGTCCTATAGCTAGTTTATAACTGCTAGAATTTTAGCTTGTCTTCCTCCAAAGCCAGTACATACACCACCTCTATTGAAGAAACTCCTCAGGATAAAAATGCTGTTATAAAAAGTGTAGGGAAGCTAATGAATGTGATTGGCTTATGACTTTGAGAGACACAATTTTCCCTATTTTCATTCTGAAGTGTTGATAATAGCTTAGAAAGAACTGTGATTCGTCAAGGCAAGGTATGAAATGTGAAAATGCTAGCACTCATTTTGTCACCAAGGAGAAACTAAAACACACTTTCATTAAAATTCTAGCTTAAGTGGTAATTTTTCTTTGTATAAATTGTTAAGCTTATTCACATGGTAAACCAGAAACCTTGAAGGTTTAGAAAAGAAAATTAAAATTTAGTTTCTGTACATCATACTATATTTTTTTAGCTAGTTACTAAGCTGATAAAAGTATTAATACTTGATTTGTTATTAATGGATAATTCTTAGCTGGTGATTCCTAGATCTTCGAGTAGGAAAATTATTTCAAGAGTTAACTTAGAATGAGGTAAAAAGCTGTTGTGCAGAGTGTCAGAAGCCTTACATTTTGGGTTGGCTCTGTGAGTATTTAACAGTTTTGATCACCAAGATTCTGCCCCTTGTAATGAAAAATAGACTATTTTCTGTGATTCAACCTAAAAAATTAACTAATTAAAAGTATACAAACCGTGAATTAGAAAGTAACCACTTCCTGTGTTTTGAAATCCTAGATGTATAGGTACAGTTTCAGTAAGTTATTTTTTGATTGATTTTAATAATTGGTCCAATTTGTAAATTATCATACATTTTCAAGTAACATTTACTTCTATATAGTTTTGTCTTATAAACTTATAATTGTTCTCTTGAAAAATTATTTTCTTTTTGTACATTATTTGTGTAGTAGCTTAAAAAGATTATTTATTGTTGTTGTTTAATGCCGTCGAGTCGTAGACGACTCATAGCGACCCTATGAACGAACAGCCTGAGCACTGTTCATATGTAGAGTTTCCGGAGGCAAGCCATTTTGGAAGTGGATGTCGCTCCTGCTTCCAGGAATTATTTATTAGACACATAATTTTTTATTATGTGTTTTCTGTAGCATTCTGTGCTTAGCTATTGATGCGCAAGTTTCCTCAGAAGATTATTGTCTTCCTAAAATTCTTGATTTTTTTTCTCTCATTTAATTAACATAGATCAATTGTGTTAGGTCAAGTATAATTATACCTATAAAGTTCTTGTTTTCCAGTTTGGTGATGGTGGTTCACCATTTTGCAGAAACCATATGAAAAGCAAAATATATTAAATTTGGAGGCTCTTGAAAACAGATATAAACCTATGTGATAATTGTAATATTTATTACTGAAAGTGAGTGTGAAGTGCATTCCAGCTTTAGATATTAATCACACGTGTATGTCTTTTCCCTCTGTCTTTCTATGGTCACTGTTTCTATCCCTCTCTAGAGATGCCATAGCGGAGATCAGAGCTATTTGTATTGAAGAAATTGGCGTATGGATGAAGATGTATAGTGATGCCTTCCTAAATGACAGTTACCTAAAGTATGTTGGCTGGACTCTTCATGACAGGGTAAGTTACCCTGCTCCAGACTTGTATGGAAACTATGCTTGTCTTAATATTGGAAATGTAGCATATTGAGGGAGTCTTTGGATTGTGCAAATGGTTAATGTGCTTGACTACAAACAAAAAGTTGAGTGATTTAGCTCCACTAAGAGACTTTTAGAGAAAAGGCTCCACATTCAACTTCCGAAAAATCACCCACCTAAAAGCTAACCATCATTGTTTTTAATTTTGTAGGCTCATATGACATGTGTTCCATTGGTGTAGTGTGTTACATGTTGGATAGCTAACTGACAGGTCAGCTATTAGAATTCACCATCCGCCCCAAGGAACATGGTCGATCTCCTCCCATAAAGACTTCCAGCCTTAGAAACCTAGAGGGACATCTTCCTGAATCAGAAGTTTTGGTTTTTGCAGTGGCTTGTCTTGTTCAGCACCATATCACAGTACAGTGTTTTGCCTCAATTGATAAAATGTGCTGTTTTTAGGATCCTTGATTTTAAAAATCAGTTTCTACTTATACCTCTAGAGCAGCCTTGACTTGAAATTATTATTGAAGGGAGCTCTGGTGACCTAGTGGCAAGAAGCTGTGTTGTACTCTCAAAGGCACACAGTTCGAATCCACCAGATGCTCCGCTGGAGAAGGCGACGCAAGGTCCTGTGCCAGTCGGATCCAGTTTGATGGTACATAACAACAACAACATAACCCCAAAACACACAAAAAGTTATTATTGAGTCCTGGAAAAATAATATTCAGAAAAACTACATGTTTAAAAAAAAAAACAACCACTGCTGTTACATTGATTCTAATTCATGATGACTCCATGTGTATTCTAAATTGTTATATTGCATTACTTTAATTATTGCAAGCATCATGGCTATTAAAAGGCATTTGTTTTAATTATGCAATTGCATTCTTTGTCTTTGATGCATATATAATCATAGTCTTAAACGTATTGTCTATAGCTTAGTGCTACAGCACTTTAGAACATCTGCTTTTAAAATAATGTGTTTAGGTACCATAGTGGTGTGATCTGTACCATGCCGCACTACTATCCAAAATTTAGCAGGTCTCGGAAAATTCTAATCCACCAGTAGCTCTTCTGTTTCCTTACATATGTTTGGATCCTCATGTCAAAAGCTATGTAGTGCACAGGTGAAGGATTTACTGTCCATAATCTACTTCATATTCTCATCTTCCTGGTGCTTTATCCCACCTTTTATTTTATCTTGAGTTCTCTAAAACAGTGTTTTGCTCTAGTTGGACAGTGTATAATGCTGTCCAACTCAAGACTAGTTTTCTCTGTTCTCTTCACTCTTACTACATGCTAACAAATTGATTCCTTGACTCAGAAACTTCTGCCAGTTGGTTCTGATTAATAACATCCTTGCATCAAAATGCTAAAGTTATAATCACAATGAGAGATTACTATTTTTCTTCTTTTTAGCAGCTTTAGCATATAACTTCCCCCCTGCCGTCCCCCCCCCCCAAAAATACTTTTTTTTGATGGCGGGGGAAAGTTGAATATTTTCCTCCAAGGGAAAAAGATGAGTATTTTCCTCCCATTCAATTTATTGCCTAAAAAAAACTGCTGAAGGTTCAACTGTCATTCGTTTATGACTCAGCTGTACGTAACACCAACTTTTACCCAAACATAGCACACATATACTTTTCCCAAGTTATCAAACTATTTTTATCTCTGCTTTTCCCCCTGAGTTTTATTTTCTTATTCTTTAATTTTAGATATATAGTGGTTAAAAAAAATACATGTAGATCGCCAGTTTTGTGTTAGCCACTGTTCTGAATGGTATTAGATTGCCGCACAGCCTTCTGTCACTAGGTCACCGGCGTGCCCTCAGCAGATTGGAATACAGTTGTGTAGATTAAGGAAACAAGCATTTCATTTTAAAAAATATAATAGTGAAAATGCAAAATAAAGCAATTACCAAAGAAGTAGAGTTACTGTTTAACTATAGGTTATTTATTTTACAGTTTGTAAATAATTTTCAAATATACTGCTTATTTACATTTTAGAAAGTTTTGTGGTATAGATAGGATGCTTTATAAGACTTAGAAAAGAGACATTTGATATATGCAAATATTGGACTAGGTAAAGATGAAAGTTCACACCCTGGCTTTGCCAATAATTTGCTGCTGTGTAAACATGAATGAAGTAGCCCACTTTCTTGGTCTTAATTTTAAATCTGAGATTGGGGAGAAATATGGAAATATTCTCAACCTCTTCTGTCTTAAGTTTTTAGAGATAGTTTGCACAGCTCTTAATAATATTGTTTAAAATTTCACATTCTATTGAATTACCTTTCTTTGAACCAGGCACAAATAATGGCTCTCTTCTGTTTGAAAGGACGCATAGTTGTCTTGCATATTAGAAATAGTCCAATGAATGCTTCAAGCCTTAGATCTGTTTGTTGAGACACTTGTGTTGGTCCATCAGTTTTTGGAGCCTTGCTTCTTTGCCAGTGCCTTCATTTCAATATGGACTTTTTCCTTCGTGCTATCAATTCTTGATCATCTGCTTCGTTTCTAAAATGATTAAACATAAAGTTTCCTTTTGGTTCTGTGACTGTATATTTTTTCCATTGAAGATGTTCTTTCAACACCCATTGAAGTCAGTAACTGTAAAGTAAGCAAACAAGTCTAGATGCTGTGTATTTGTTAGGACTGCCACATGCCATAATCATGGCCATACCTTCCTTATTGCATAATGGGTCTCTTGATTCAAATTTATATTTTGTGATCCTGTGTTTATTTTAAAAAGGTGACTCTGAGCCATCAGATGATGGTCTAGCTAAGGCAGTATGGACAGAACAACTAAAACCTTACAAGTCGCTTAGGAAAAATCATTGCCCTTTCGAGGATTGAGATTCTAATTGACTTGCTTCAAGACATTAATGGTGTCTTTTCGTTTGATATTACAATGAGGACGCAGCAGTGGTCTTTGCTACTGGCTGATTGGTCAGAGATAGCAGTAATAAGAACTCCTTGGCATAACCTCCACCCTGACATGGCTAACTTGGTCCATCAGTCTCTTTTGCAAGCACTGGAGTAGCCAAGGACAGAGGCTGGCTGCTATTCTTGATGTCTACTGGTCAAGCCATCTTTATTTGTTTGTTTAGTGCCTGTACTAGCATCATTGCCCTCTGCTGAAATGAGAAGATGTACCATACCAGTTACCTACCTGGTCACCAATGGCACCCACGTGTTCTTGCACCTTTTTCTACCATTCATTGAGTCCAGTGTTTTTAGAGACTGAATTCACAGTTGTGAAGTTTATTACAGAAGTAGGATGGGGAGTGGGGAGTAGGGGAGGCAAAGAATATCAAACAGTGCAAATCCAGGTATTTCTCAGTGAGTCACAATCCAGGTTCAGTTCAGCAACACAAATGCAAGAAGCCTCCTGATTTCCTCAGTTGTCCAGCAGACTTTTTAGAGCTGTTATAATTCTACTTTTTCGTCAATCATCCAGTAAGCAAAACTTAACTTTGGTTCCATCTCTAAGGTTCCTCTGGTTACAGCTTGTCACAGTCTCTTCACAGCAGTGCCAGAGTCTCTTCACTCTCCACCACGGTTTCTCTAATTATCTTCACAGTTCCTCCACCACCATCTGTCTCTCAGTGTGGAAAGTACTCTCTTATATTGGTCCCACAGCTGTTGATGATTTTCAAGATCATATGCCCACAGTTATGGTAGCTGGATATTATGCACCCCTCCCAGACAAAGGCTAACACAGTGGCTAGAAAAGCCAATTTTTCAAGGGTCCTGAGGGCCCAGATGTCTCCTGGCCAAGCATCTTATTTACCTATTTAGGGCCTGTACTAGCATTTTGCCCTCTGGTGACCTTAATATGGGATTCAGTGCTTGGTGGCACTTCATGTCCCTTCCCCTAGATACATTCACATGCTTCTTCACAATATCTCTTTTTCCAGGCTTACAGCCAGTCAGCATAGGCCTTTTTCCTTTCATCCTTTATTATATCCTAACTTTGGGCCACTTTAATGTCATGTATTTAATCAGATACATTGCCTGAATTCCGATCTTTGAAAGGATTTCCCTTCAGTGCTGTCTCTTAGCCCTATCCTGAAATGCTGCAGTGTTGTCCCACTCTTGACCCACGCAAATAAACTAAAGCCAACTCCTCTCTCAATGAAGCGTGTATGTTTTATCCTCCTGTAGAAGTTGACCGTACTTTGCCTCTAAATAAGATTGTACAAAATGATATTTGTGCCACAGTAGTGAATTACGTGGAGGTCTAATCTGGATTATTTGTATACCTTAGTTGTGCCATAGGGATCTGCTGGAATGTGTCACTTTACAAGGAATTGCTTTTGGTTTCATCAAACCTTAAGATAGCTCAATCTTATAAGCACCTACTTTCTGATTATTAATGGTCTCATGTTTATATATTTCGATGACTAATTACTCAGCATCCATTAGGGCCCAGAAGCTTTCCAAATGTGGCATTGTTCTCTTCTGCAAATTGTGTTACCGTCTCCAGAACCCAAGGGCTCTAAATTACAAATCTTTTATTGGGACTTGGCAGAAACGCCACACTGCAGTTTGAGCTATCATAGGACCTGATAGATTTTGATGTTCGCAGCACTTCCTGCTCAGCCTCATTCAGAATAGGCGGGTTTTACAACCTGGTATGTGAGTCAGAGCGGTATTCTCATGGCCTGTATATTCAGCCAGCAGAGCCCTAAAGACATGTCATATTCTGTTATTCTTTCTTAATATATGACTCACAGTTAGGGTTAAAAATATAGAAGGAAAAAAAATTCTATATGTGTATCATTTATAGGGTGCAAATTTTCTTCTTTACACTGCAGTGCATGTCCTGAAATGTTTCAGAGCATTGAACCACCAAAAATTTCAGTGAGTGATCCCTAAAATTCTGTAGGGCTTTTCACCTAACCCTTGGTGCATAAGGTTTTCAGAAGACTTGATATTTCCTGACCGTCACATCTGATGTTGTCTATCAATTTAACAATGTGATGTTTTATGGAGGTTGAGTATACTTATGATTTACCCTCTTTCTGTCACACCATTGTATGAAGGGAGTTTGCATTATTCCCTGACCATGACCAGTTAGCACCACGCCTAACAGCTAAAAATAACAAACATTACCTCACAATTTTTATGGATCAGGTTTTGAAAACTGTTTAGCAGAGTGATTTTGGTTTCTTGGTTGGTGCTCTGAGTAAATGACCTTATTAAAGATACACCAGTAGTAAGTAGCAATCCCAAGATGCTTAATGATTTTCCTTTGCCTCTATTGTAAACATACTGCTATTTAGTTGTTTTCTTAAATATCTTCTCTGAAAATGTAAAACACATGCAGTGAATTTTTATGGAATTAGTGAATGTTACTGTTTTGTTATGAAGTTATTTTTCCACAGAATTTTTAAAATACATAACGGATGAATAAGTATAACTTTTGACTTCATCAAAAGATAGAAGTTTATAGAGAGGTTGGGAAATAATCTTATGTTGAATCACCTGTTGGAGGTAATAAATACTTCAAAAAGTTAGATTATTTTTAAGTTGGTAAAGGGTTTTCAATCCTTTTTTGTTAAATTCCAACAGAAATTTATATATACTTATTCCCATCCCTTGTTCAATTGCAATATAATGTTAAATTGGATTGTTAAACTGAGATGTAGACTTCATGCAGACTTGAAAATCTTTTCAACCTTTGTGGCATGTAATTGATGGCTTCTCCTGTTTTTGTTTGTATTTCTTAAAGCAAGGAGAGGTCAGGCTGAAGTGTTTGAAAGCTCTGCAAAGTCTGTATACCAATAGAGAATTATTCCCCAAATTGGAGTTATTTACTAACAGATTCAAGGTAAGCATCAAAAAATGTTAGGTTTATCTTATTTTTCATTTTAAAAGACTTTTTTTATGACAAGTTTAGCCAACAATATTACTGTAACAAATTTTTAGTTCAATTCTTTATTTTTTTAATAAACCTGTATAAAATCCATAATGAATCTTTGCGTTAAAATACCAGTATGAATCCATAGCTTTTGTTTGCCCTGTTTAAAATAGAGATTTCTTTATGTGTAGCTTTTTTTAAAAAATAATTTTAATGAGCATTTACAGAGATTTTGGATTTCCGTTCATTCATTGCTGCACTTCTCTCCCCGCCCAGCCCCCCACCACCATTTTGCTCCTCTCTTTCAAAAGTAAAAGAAACACTCCTTCCCTGGTTATGTGTAGCTTTTTACAAATATGTTATTTTAAAATAAAAGTTTACTTTTCTCATGGTTAGGAATTGCTAATTGATGGCAAAGATTTTAGATTATCAAAGTTTATACTAAAATATATGTGAAGTAAGATTGTGGCATTACTGTTTGAAGAGTAAGACTATCCATGCTCTTGCACACGGATTAGTTTTCACCTTTTTCCCCCCAGGACCGTATTGTATCAATGACTCTTGATAAGGAATATGATGTGGCTGTGGAAGCGATTAGATTAGTTACTCTGATACTTCAGTAAGTATAGTTTCTGTTCATATTTTAACTTGATCTCTTGATATTTTGTTGCTTTTTTCCCAGCATTATTGATGTACTTCATAGTACAACCTACAGATTGGTAAAGAGGTGAAAAATATATTTATGTATTTACTTCACTAACACTTAGGTTTTATATTTGCTTCTTTGTTTCCATTTTAAAGTAAGTTTTGAAGCAAAAGGATTTTCTGTTGCTGCTGTTCTTTTTTTAAAAAAATTACTGTTCCATATTTTTTCCATGTAAAAGTTCTTTTATGAAACAAAAAGTCATTGAAGTAACATACCTTTTTATTTAAAAACTAGTAAAATCAGAAAGAAATTTAAAAGAAAGAATCCTCAACGGACTTGTTTTCTCAGATACACTTTGTGGAATGCTATATTTACTTCAATAAAGAAATAAAATAAGGTATTTGAATAATATAGTGGTTGTTGTTCTTGTTCTTATGTGCCGTTGAGTTACTTGTGACTCATAACGACCCTGTGTACAACAACCCTAAAATCTGTTCTCTCCTGTGCCAACCTTATTGTCTCCGGCCCACCTAACCTCTTTACTTCAGTCATTGTTCTAAATCCATCTCATCCAGGGTCTTCTTCTGTTATGCTGTCCCTCCACCCTTCCAAGCATGTTGTCCTTCTCCAAGGACTGGTCCCTCCTTGCAACATGCCCAAAATATACCAGCCGAAGCCTCAGAATCCTTGCTTCCAAGGAGCAAAGTGGTTTTACCCTCTCTAGGAGGAAAACCTGTTTGTTCTCCTGGAAGGACATGATATATTCAGTACTTTTCTCTAGCACCACAGCTCAAAGACATCAGTTCTCTTTCTATCATCCCTAGTCATTGTCCAGGTCTCTGGACTTAGCAAGCAATTGCTAATACTATGGCCTGGGTCAGGCACACCTTAGTCTCCAGACTGACATTATTGTTCTTCAGTACTCTGGAGATGTCCCTGACAGCCGACTTTCCCAATGCAATTTGTCTCTTGATTTCCTGGCTGCTGGTACGAAGAGTGTAGATTGTGGTAGAGATTTTAAAATTGTGATCTAAACCGATTTACTTTATAGATCATTAATAAAAACTAGAAGGAAGCTTTGTGAGAGTGTGTGAGTCTTACTGTGGTCCTTACAAGTCCTTTTCTGTCTATCTCTCGTGGTACAGCATCATGGTCTAATACCTTTTGCTGTAATCTGTTACTGCTCTTATCTACTATTGTTTTCCTCTCTCCTCACCTCTTTGCTTTGTGACCGTGTTCTTTATAGTGTTTAACATCACCTCTTCTCCTGTCCTCTCGTCTTTATTTCTTAGAATTTGTAAAACTGTTGCTTTTTCTTTTTCCTTCTGTATAAAACTTTTAGATATATTTGAGATGTTTTGATAACTTTAGAAGAATACAAAGTTTTTGTTTTGTTTTTTTAATATTTATTATTAAATTTTATTCATTTTAATGAACCTTTACAGAGTTTTTGGGTTTTCATTCATTCATTGTTGCACTATTTTCTCTACCCTACTCCCCAGTTCGTTCTTCTTTTTTTTCTCCCCTTGAAAGTCTGTTTTAATTATCCACTTGCCACAGTGCTTGTCAAAGCCAGTTCTGATTAATTTCCTTTGTCAGTGTGTCCTTTGCCATTCCCTATCACTCCTCCCTGAGAGAGACTTCACCCTGATTCATAAGGAAAAGGGGACGGCTTATTCTCTTAGCTACTTCTGACTGAAAAGGGACACTGTAGGTTTCAGCGTGAAGATCTCCCCTCACTCTACTCTAAAGGGCCCCTTTGGCAATAGGAAACCCATAGACTGTTAGGGAGATTTTATTTTGGAATTTAAATGCAAAAGTTTTTTATATTTATATCATTTGTGTACAAAAACGGTCCATTTGTTTCTTTAGATTTCATTAGGTCTTTTAATATAAGATTTATGTTTTCTCTTTAAAGGTCTTATTATAATTGTTTCATACCTGATGCTTTTCTTATTTTATAATTAATGTCAGGTTACTCAGTTATTGCCAATAACATCTTGGGCAAAGACTGAAGCTAAGAAATGTTTCGTTTTTATGTTAGTCTGATGGGAAAAAAACCTTTAAAATTTCTCTTTTGCCTTCTTATGGTTTGTTATTGAATATAGAGTATTATCATCTTCAGACAGTTTCACTTTTTGTCTTTGTTTACTAAGCTTAAAACTTTTGTTTTAATCTCTTTATCTTTAGTGCGGTAGCCAGACCTTCATTATTGACAATTCATTCCTACCACTTGTCTTGTTCCTAGTAAGCTTCTAAGGTTTTGGCTTGGCTACAAGTGTGATTCTTGTAACACTCTTGTTTATTGTTGTTCTGTAATACATTGTTGTTAAGTTCAGTAGCGTCCACTGCTAGTTCACAACAACCCAGTGGACAACAGATGGAAACTTACTGGGCAGTTGTGCCCAGTCCTGCCCTGTCCCCTCCACCTCTACTGAGCAGCCCATTTTTGCTGTCCCTGTGTCTGTCCCTCTCATTGAGGTTCTTCCTTAAATGCCCCTCCACCTTCAAGCAGGATGCCTTCCTGACATACCCAAAATATGTGAGACAGGCTCATAGCTTTGCTTCTAAGGCACATTCTAGCTGCCCTTCTACTACACCATAAAATCTGTTGTTGTTAAAACCACTTGTAAGTATTCAGTTCAATGGAATTATATTTATAGTGTCATGTAATCATATCCACTTTATTTCTAAAATATTTGTATCACTTTACACGAAAACTTGTTTTCCATTAAGCAGTGACTTTCCAGCTCCAGTTAACCACTCATCTGCTTCCTCTCTCTATTTCTTTATGCAGTCTTTATTATCAGTGAGATCAGACAGTGTTTGTCCTTTCATATCTAGATTATTTATCTTAGCACATGTTTTTAAGGCCCATGTGTGTATTAGAATGTTTCAGGATTTCCTGTCTTTTATGCCAGAAAACAGCACTGCATGGGGGAACAGAGGGGAGGTGTGTGAGAGTGTGTGTCTTTGTTTATCCATCCTCTGTGGATCGGTATTGGAGCGATTCTCACCATCATCTTCTGGTGAAGAATGCTTCCATGAACACTGGCATACCAGTCTGTGGTGAGTTTTTCTAGTTGTGATACATAATAACAGTTCCTTTGTATCCGGAAATTTTTTTATTAAAGTCACAAATAAAAGGATTGATTTTTTTTCTACCATCTTTTCTGAACCTAACTTGATACATTTTTCTACTGGTAATCCAACTGTGTATTCTTAAAATAAGTCCTTTTGAACCATGATGAAGTATATTTTGCTTAAATGCAGTATTCTATTTATGTCTTTTTTTTTTTTTTTAGATCTTTTGTATCTCAGTGTTTATGAGACAGTTCTACACAGTTCTTTTCCTTGGCCTTACTCATCTTTGTCATTCTCATCCTCCAACTGTTTCTCTTCCAGAACAAATAATACTTACTACAAAGATTATTATCTTTATCGTGGAAAATTTTAGATAATTGTTACATTAATGTCACTTTTGAGGATTTTTTGCATGGAAGCTCTGTTGGCATATTGTATAGCAAATGCCATGGGGAACAAATGTCAGTGCTTTGAATCCACCGGTGACTCTGAGGAAGAAAGTTGAGTCGTCTCCTCTTACAGACATCTCCAGCCTTGAAACCCCCTGAGGATTTCTGTGCACAGAGGGTTTGGGTTTTACATTTGTGGGTCTTCTCTTGCTACTACTTTGTCTTCAGTAGTTAGCTCTCTAAATGTTCTTTTTTCTTGTGTTCATTTTGTGTTGACACTGTTGTGGAGGGTGAGTCTGTAGCGTGTTGTACTGCTAACCATAAAGGTCACATGTCTCTGGTGGTTTGACCTACTAGTAGCTCTGAGGGAGAAAGCATTAGCATTACAGCCTCAGAAACCTGAAACAGGGCCACTGTTGTAAACCGACCCAAGGCCAGTGAGAAGTTCATTTTGCCTCTTCGTAATCTTATGTATCAGTTGTATCTGTTTTTAATTTTCATTTTTATAGTTCATGATATCCTTACTTCCTAAATTCTACCAATATGATTGGATCCTCTTTTTTTATTCTATATTTTATGGGTAATGGTTTAATCAGCCATGCCAGAATGTAATTAATTTTCTCTCTTCAAAGAACCAAACTTATATTTTAAGTACTTGGTTCATTTGCATCTTAGTTTCTTATAATCATATTTGAATTAAAATGTGTGCTTTTAGATACAACTGTACCTGTGTCCTAAGAGTTTGAGCACACAAGTGTTTCACAGACATTAAGTTAGGGGGCTCTCCTGGCCTAGTGGCGAGAATCTGTTCAATCCCGAAGGCATGCAGTTCGAGTCTACCAGCTCATCCGCAGGAGAAGGATGGGCGGTCTCCTCTGAGCCATTCACTACCTCTGAAACCCTCCAGAGGGTGGGTTCAGTTACATTCAGTTACCATTATTTTATGATTCATTTCAGTTAAATCATGGGCTGTTCAGTAGTTTGTGTCCTCCTCAGACATACTTTTAAATTTTATTTTTATTTTATTATTTTGTGTGGGTGTGTACCGTCGAATCGGATCTGACTGGTACAGGAGGAGATTGTCCCTCCTTCCCCGGCAGAGCACCTGGTGGATTAGAACCATGCCCCCCAAGACATACTTTTAAACTGTCTGTTCTATTTTAGTCTGTTACTTAACAACATGCTTTAAAATAGTTTGATTTTTTTGTTGTTGTGATTTTGACAAAATTTCTAGAAAGATTAGATTTTCATTGAATTTATAATCTTTGTTTTTCTTCATCCTTTTTGGCCTGTATGGAAAAAGACCAATAATTAACCCTTAAGAGACACCTCATAAGTTTGGTTTTATTTTTCTCTCACAATTTTAAGATTTCTTTTTTGTTAGTCACCGCGGTGGCATGTAGCACATTATTTTTGTGTGGACTATATTTTGCCTACTGATCTTCATGCCTTCTAAAATTAAGGTCCTGAATTACCCGACTTACCCCTTCAAACTACATATGGATACACACATTTATGATATCAGTATTTATTTTTTTTTCCTTTATAAAGCATTCTTTTTTGTTATTTTGGAAAAGGTTTCTTTGTTTTTACAGTTTCATTTTCTGTTAAAGAACCTTGGTGCAACGGTAATTCAAATCTTGGGTGCTGATTGACCCTCCAGCTGTTCCACAGGAAAAGAACACACACTGCTTCTGTGCACCGTTGCCGTCCTGTGGAGCAGTTCTGTGCATTGAGATCAACTCAGTAACACTTGGTTTTACTTTCATTATTTCCTGTAAATCTATTTTAAAATATTAGAGTTTCTGGTTATGTACTTTTTAAAAAAATTCACAGGTTACTCTTTGAACAAGAAATGCCTTGACATTCCATCCTACAGTATTGTCTTGAATTTGAGATCTGTATTCTTAAGGAGTTTATTTCTTTTCCCCCCTTCTTGGTTTACATTTAGTACTTGTTCGTTTACATAGCAGGAAAATTTATGTCTTCCTCACTTATTTCCGGGAAAGGTCAGTTACCTCTTTAAGACCTTAGATTGCCTTTTCCTATTAAAGTGCTTTTCTAAAGAGTATTTTCAAGCCTTCTGAGACCTTTTTAGTCTAAAAAATCCCAAAGGTGTTTTTTAGCCATAAATTTAGCTAATAATTTGCTGATTTCAAACATCTCTGTTTAAGAGGGGATTTTGTTTTTTATTGGTTTGCCTGTTACACATTTCGATATGCATTGTGTTTCACATTAATCTTCGTTCACATTGTGTTTCATACAGTCATTCTCATGCATCATGTTTCATAAAATCAATCACCATTGGACCTTGCCCATCATTATTACCTTGACCTTTTGCCTGGATCGTTCCCTTTCCTTCCTTGCCCACCTCTCTCTACCCACCAAACTGTGCAGCTCTGTGGTTTAAAAGGGGTTTTATGCATTTACGTTATAGGAGACAGAGGGGCAGAATATGTCTTATTTGAGAGGCAAGGATATGGCGTCTTCGTGCGGCAGGTGTCATAGTGGATTGGTACATTGATTCTTGAAGGGAGACCTCCTCCCTCTAGGCATTTTCCCAGAGTAGACAGAACCTCTTCTTTTTGCTTTGTGACTTAGCCCCTGATTTTTGGATTTATTTTCTCTTTTATTGGAGTCACTTGTTCTACAGGTTGTCCTTTCGAGTAACCTCTTGGAACTATCCAGGCTGACTCCCTTTAAGGTTCCACATCAGGGCTTCTGTTTGTTTACACAAGTCCAGCTCACTCCATTTTATTCCTTTTCTTTTTATTCAAGTACTGTGGTCTATTTCAGTCATTCTCTTTCCTTCAGACCCTTCTTTGTACCAATTCCTGAACCTTGTAATTGTGAGGGTTATTTATAATGATTATATTCTTTGAAATGTAATAGTTTAATAGTTCAGTTTAGCTTAGGGAAAAGATGAGCTTAGCACCTGCATTCTCTCTCTCGTTAAAGGCACTCTCTCTAACAGTTGTATTGCTCATACTCTAATGTCCTCTTTCCTCTTGTTTTGATGGCTAATGAACTAAAAAGAGCACAAAGCCAGCCTCCCAGTCTCATGCACTGAAATGATCTGGATTTGTTTTTTCTTTTTTTATTTGTGGGATCTTTATCAAACCAATAAATTAAAACATCTTCCTAATCCTCCTTACAGATCTTTTTCTCTCCATTTATTTATTCCCCTTCAAAGGCCATTAATGTCGCTTGTGAGTTTGGATTTCTGTAATGTCTTGTTACTTTTCTCAGTGTTTATCTCTCCTATAGGAGAAGGGCTCACATATAAGCTATGTCCATTTGCCCCTTGTGGGAAGTACTAGTTAGTTATGGTCAGAAATACTTTTCCTCAGGACACAGAACTTTTGGTTAAAATCTGTAGCTTGTCCCTGGCAGTTTGGTTGGCAGGATGAAGGCAGCATAGATTATCAGAGCTCTGATCACTAGCTACCTTTACCCATCCCTGATTATTTTAAAACCTGTCTCCCACAGTTGGAATATCATAACTCTCAGGCTGTGGAAGGAAATGTAGAAAGAGTTCTGGAGCCAGCCAGTTTATCTACAGCTCTGGTGGACTAGTTGTTAGAAACTGCACTGTGATCTCAAAGACACGTGGTTCAAAGCCACCAGTTAATTAGTGGGAAAAGGATAGTCATTCTTCTCCTGTGTCATTTACTTATTCTGAAAAACCGCTGTGGGTCGTTTCAGACTCGATGGCATGCGACAGCAACAACACTGTTCATTAGGGCTGCTCTAGTGACATAGGCCTTTGCACTGCTAACCAAAAGACCTCTAAGTGGTTCCAATCCACCAGCGACTTTACAGAGGAAAGATAAGTAGCTTCTCCTAGGCTGTTTATAGCTTCAGAAAACTGACTGAAGGGTCTGCTTTGGCTCAGTTACAGCACGACAGCAATGAATTTGCCTTGTTTATTATGCAATACCTGTTGACGCTAATACCCTGTGGACTCCCGTGGGAACTGGGTGGTTTTTTAATACCAATGCTAGTGTCCTCTACTCAGGAGTATCGGAATTGAATGTCACAGTAGAACTGTGTTTTGTAGGGTTTTCAGCCTTTCTTCTAGGACTCAGTAGATTTCAACCTCTAATCTTTTTGATGAGCCACCAAACACAATAACCATTTATTTGTACCACAAAATTATATAGATTCAGGCAATGATTAAAAGGAAAACACACACACACACACACACACACACACACACTCTTTTTTTTTAAAAAAAAATACCTCTGTCCTTTTCTCCAATCCTTGAAACAGCATTCCATTTGTTTTTATTCAACTTCACCCTCTATGGGTGAAGACTGTGGTGCAACCATCTTCTTTTGCTACAAAGAAAACTTGCCTAATACTGATTTGACAGAGCCCATAATCTCCTAGCTTCTGAAACAACTCCTTGTAAGGATTCTAGGGAGTGAACTAATGTGAAGGTCTATACCTTATAAAGATCCTGTACATTGCAAGTATTAAATATTCTTTTTAGTCATTGTTAATCTATAATTATAACAGACAAATACTCACAAAGTAGAGGATCCTGGAGCAGACAGTTCTTTAAAAACACACATGCTCGTCAACTAAGAAGGAGGTATTACAATGCTACAAGGTTCAATAAACTCAGATTATTGCGAGATGATACAGTACATGAGAATGAGGAAGTAAAAAATGCTATAAGGAGGCATCCTCAGCACCTTTGTAATGACTGATCTTTGCATAAAACAAGCCCTGGGCCAGACCATGCAGGATACCTCACCTAAAGGACAGTAGACAGAATACAGGGAGGATACGTTCTACCTTGAACCATAACTGATGGAAAGTTCTTTGAGAAGGAAAGAGTAGAGTGGGCAAAGATATAATCATGTTATAAATCTGTGGTTCCAGCTGTCACAGTATTTTTATGCTGTTGGTTAAACATGAAATACATAATTTAAGAATAATTTAGACTGCTGTGTGTATGGCTTTAAAAGTTGTTGTTTGTTGTTATGTGCCGTCGCGTCGTTTGCGACTCATAGTAACCCTATGTACAACAGCCCTAAACCCTGCTCTATCCTGTGCCAATCTCATTGCCTCTGACACACCCATCCCGATTACCCCAGTCACTGAATCAATCCACCTCATAGAGGGTCTTCCCCTCCTGCGCTGTCCCTCCAATCTGCCCAGCATGATATCCCTCTCCAAAGACCTGTCTCTCCTTACAACATATCCAGAGTATGTCAGACGAAGCCCCAGAATCCTTGTCTCCAAGGAGCAGCCTGCTTTAACCCTCTCTAGGATGAATCTGTTTGTTTTCTTGGCAGTCCATGGTACATTCAATACTCTTCTCCAGCACCACAGCTCAAAGGCGTCAATTCTCCTTCTATCCTCCCTAGTCATTGTCCAACTCTCTGATGCATAACAAATGATTGCAAAGACCATGGCCTGTATCAGGCACACCTTAGTCTCCAGAGAAACACCGTTGCTCTTGAGTACTTAAAAGAAATACCATAAAAAAGAAACTAATGTATAAATGAAATTATATAAACATTGTGTTAGCAAAGAAATAGTTACAACTGCTAAGTTCTTTGAGTAGAGAAAGAAGACTAAGTAGTTTTGTCAAGGTGATGATAAATAGGATTTAAAATATAAGTTCTAGAAAGAAGAGCTACATAGTGTAATAGTAACTTAATTGTTTGTGATAGGGACAAATATATTCCTTGAGTATTCTCAACAAGAATCTTGTGCAGATTTAAAGAGTATGAGTTAATTTGGGTGAATGTATATTGAAAGGTATTGATGATAGTCATTGTGTTGGTATATATGTGAAGAGAAGAATTGTAGGTTTTGTTGGTGTGCTTTTAAAATTTTTATAATTATCAGGTGTCTTATCTTTATGAGGAGGTATTGTTTTCAAATTAAGAATTTAAGGGCAGTAAAATCCGTATGCCTTTAGTTTTAGGATGAACTTTTATCAACTTAAATGCTGGTGGTACTGAAAGGGAATATTTGTTTTGGTTCAGATGTTAATTTCTGAATTTTTCAGTGGAAGTGAAGAAGCTCTTTCCAACGAAGACTGTGAGAACGTTTACCACTTGGTGTATTCAGCACACCGTCCTGTTGCCGTGGCTGCTGGAGAGTTCCTGCACAAAAAGTGAGTGGTTTCTGAAACCAGATGCTCCTTCTCTGTTTTCTTAATAAAGTGTGTGGAACAGAATAAACACAAGGATAGATGTCGCAGTTTCAAACTTGGAGAGTTTTGATATCCTCAGAACATCTGACCCATCATGACCAAGATTTCAGAATATAGAGCTTGTGATACATTCCTTTCCCCTGTAATCTAAAAGGACAGTTTGTTAGCCCAGGATGTGAGTTGAAATTTGAAGACATGTATGACCTTTATAATGATTTCCTTGTTAAGTGAGCGTTCATTTTACTAATTTTCATTACTTTCAAAGTTAAGACTTTGAACTTGCTTTCTTGACATGTCTAGTCTTAAGTGTAAAACGTTCACTGTCATCTTCAAAATGGTACCCTACTTAGATATTTTCCCATGTGTCTCTGTATTAGCACATTGTTGTTAGGTACCATCGCGTTGGAACCGATCCAAAGCTAATCCTCCAGTGGAGTTCCAGAGACAATATATCATAAAGATTAACCATCTTTGTCCAGCGGCAGATTGGGTGGATTTGAGCCATATACTTCTGCGCTGCCAGCACAGTTCCTTACAACTTCCTTCACTGGCATGAGGATTACTTAAAATCAGTATTCTGTAATTAACTTTATGGACACAGACACCAGTAACTGTGCACGGTTAACTGCCTCTGAACGCCCACTGGAGGGTTAGCTCTGGGTCACACAACATCTTCAGCTCATCAGCACACAACCATAACAATAATTACCTTAAAGATTACGAGTATAATGCATTTTAGTTTTACTAAAAATAAACTGATCATTTTTTTTAACAAAGCACAGAACTACTAGAATTTATGCAATTAAACAGTCTTCGAAAAACTACTTTTGATTATTAATATCCCAGTATTTATTAGTAGGTTAATTCATTATCGATACAAGCACAAAAATGCTTTTTTAGGAAAGTTTGTTTCTTTTTGTTGTTGTTGTTGTTGTTGACTTACCTTAGTGGATTTGACAGGTGAACCCAAAGGTCCTTTCAGTGCAGTGACTTGTGGTTGTACTGAAGCGCAGATAATAAAGTCATGCCCTGGGACTGATGCGCATGGATAATTAACTAATGAACAAGCCTGGTTCTCCAAGCTTTAGCATCTGCTGCAACAACAGATTACTCAGTGACATCTCTCAAAATGTTAGAAGTTTCTTTTTGAAAAATCTGCATAAGAAACAAAGCTGATTATACACTATTCTGTTAAAAAAAAGTGAATGAAAGTTCTGGCTTTAGGCCTGACTTTTAAAGTGACATCATGACTGACAGTGAGGGTGACTTCTGTGTCTAGAGTATGGCATCAGCTTTATGTTTATCTTGCAATGTGCTGTGTAAAAACTTGAAGGTCGTGCTGTGGTCTTAAAGCTCCTTTCTTTTCCAGGACTATTGCAGTCCTTGATCTTTCTTGAAAGAGAAAATAGACTAAAGAGTTTAGTGTTCTGTGGCACAGGAGCCATAAACTGTCAACATATGGACCAGAGGAGGTCCTGGGATAGATACAGATATATAGATATAGATATAGATATAGATATAGATATAAATTAGATATAAATGTAGATGTAGATATAGATATAGAGATAGACATAGAGATAGATAGATATAGATGATATAGAGATAGAGATAGAGAAGATATAGATGTAGATGTAGATATAGATATAGAGATAGA